AGAGGCTCTGCAGTTTAAAGTCGTCCCATTTGTCCAAACTTTGTTGTGTTTCTGATGTCATGTGTTAGAGTTTTTTCCATTCTTTGGGTTTCATTTCAACAGGACTCATCATTCATATATCCTGTCGAAAATTTTTTGTGAACCATCCACAAGTGTAATAGTTAAGTTCATTTAATCCTTTTCTTCCCTTCAATAGAACTCTGAAATGTAGTTTATTACCCAGGCTTTGTGAGCTGCTGGATGGGATGGCCCCCTGGGAACGTATGTGCACTGTGCACTCTAACTTCTCCCACTCCAGCCTGACAGTGATGGTCATAGTTGGCAGGATCACCCACCATCTGATTTATAGATGAGAAAATTGGCTGACTGCTTTATCTGATTAGTACCTATTTAACGACCATGCCCTTAGTACCTAGAAAGCATTCAGTGATCTTAGTAAGGGCATGGATTTAACCCTATGTTTCAACATTGTCTTCACAAAACCCCAAGTATGTATCTTACAAAATCCCAACTGATACACAAATAAGTCCATGGAAGATATTTTAACTTAAATCTTTGGGCCCATGGGCAAGTTCCAATATAGTTACTTGTGTTTTGTGAGTCACCTGCCACAGAATGACCTACACTAGAGGCTTTGGATTTATCCCAAGCTGCTTTACTGTGGTTTCTAGTTTCTTAGAGCAAGAAATCTATGGCCAGCAGCTGACCCAAGGGTTAGCACATGTCCAAACCATTTTAGGTTTTTAGGTATCAGTAATTCTTCAGTATCCAAAACAGTTCCAAGAGTGAATATTGTTGTATTTTTTGTGATGCTGGGGTTTAAATCCAAGGCCTTATTCAGGCTAGGCAAGCACTCTTTCACTGCAAATACTTACTGAACACCTTATGGTATGCCTTGCAGTGTTCAAGGACTAGTGATAGAGAAGTAAACAGAATATCTGTGGCGCTGTGGCTCAAGTGGTAGAGCGCTCGCCTTGAGTTGAAGAGCTGAGGGACAACGCCCAGGCCCAGAGTTCAAGCCCCACGACCGACAAAAAAAAAAAAAACACTAACTATATAGAGTAAACAGAATATCTGACCTTCATTACTTTTTAGGAACATATCCACATTAAAGGAAATGGGCTTTGAGATCAGGTACATGAAACAAGTGTAACACATTTGTTTTCTTGGATTCTGGATTATAAATTGGTTTAAAGGTGAATCAAAAATGGGTTATTACTGTGTTTTAACAAGTTCACCAACTTCTGCGCAACTTAATAGCATCCAACAATTATTTTGCTAGTGCTAGGGTTGACTTCAGGGCCTCATACTTGCTAAGCTCTCTAAAACACAAAGGTATGCTCCCATCCCCTAGTGAATAGGCCGGTTACAATTTATGGGCAGTGATAGTAGCTTTTCTTCCATTCCTAACAGCTAATACATTTTTTTGTGATTTCTAAGTCATTTTCCTTATTCCTGATTACTTGCATATTCAACAGGCAATAAGAAGGAACATTAAGTCTTCTGGCTTTTCTCACCTAAACAAGTTTGGTCTTGGACAACCTGTGTCTTAAATCTATTGTAATCTCTAAAATAATACAAAACCACTTAATGGGGTGCATCATGAGGTTTGGGGAAGAGCACAGTTGTGTGTGTGTGTGTGTGTGTGTGTGTGTGTGTGTGTGTGTGTGTGCGCATGCACCTGTCCTGGAGCCCGAACTCAGAGCCTGGGCACTGTCCCTGTGCATTTTTGCACAAGGATATAACCATTTAAGCCACAGCTCCACTTTTTGGGGGTAGTTAATTGGAGATAAGTGTCTCACAGACTTTGCTGCCCAGGCTGGCTTCAAACTACAGTCCAAAGATTTCAGCCTCCTGAGTAGCTAGTATTACTGGTATGAGCCACCAGTGCCCAACACAATAATGTATTTTTAAATGCTTTGAAAATTTTAATGCACCATGCAGATAAGTTATGAAGGCAACTGCAAGTACGTGCTAGGTACTCTTTTTTGGGGGGGGAGGGGGTCCGGTTGTAGGGCCTGAACTCTGGGCATAGGCGCTGTCCCTCAGCTCTTCAGCTCAAGGCAAGCACTCTACCACTTGAGCCACAGGGCCACTTCCGGCTTTTTCTGCTAAGGAATCAAACCCAGAGCCTCATGCATGCAAGGCAAGCACCCTACCACTGAGCCACCTTCCCAGCCCATAGGTACTATTTTTTAGAGTGCTAGAGGTAGGAAAACAAACATTTGAGGGCTTTGAGCAGAACAAAGTCACTTGGTAACCTGGGGTCCAGGTTACCATAAGATATGTCCACTAGGGGATATGCACACACCTGACATCAGGAATGCCACTCCTGGTTTTGTTTGCACATGAAATAAACCAACTATTAATGTTTTTCCTTGTAAATAATTCCCATGCCAGTATTAGAAATGGAGAGATTTTGTTTTGCGAAGAGTGGAAATATGTCTGCAAAAGAACTACCCAATAGTTGCTCACATATTTGCAAAGTACTATCTACGTTAGAGTTCAAATCTGGAAGAACAGTGGAGATCTTTGTCTCTCTTAGGTGATATTCCCTTCCTCAAATGATTGCCCTGCCATTAGTAATTAACCTTTAATACAGCAGGCCTCTTGCTAAGTGGTTCTGTAATGACCTTAACTCCAAAAGTGTCTCCTCGACTTCAGACTTATGTTTCAAGGCATCTTTAACCACTTTGGCCTTTCCCTCCTCCTGTGGTCCGTATCTCCTTGGTCCTGTTTGGTAAATTTCCTCAGCCAGGTGAATTTATTTCCTTTCATCACTCAGCATTCTTCTCAAAGCACACACAGCCCTCCCCTCTTATTCTACAATAATGCTGTTTGCTGTAAAAATAAAAGCTGTGCTCACTTAGCCCATTTGGTTTCTAAGCCTTATAGAACACAAGGACCCCACCTACAGTGGGCAGTTTCAATAGTTAACTTGAAGAGGTGGCACTTTTTTTTTTTTAAAGCATGGACATTGTAAGGAGTAAGTGGAGCTGGAAGAACAAGGGAGTTTTAATTTCAGTGAGAAGACATAATTGAAAAAGAAGGGATAAAGGAGAAAGAGCAGAAGTGTAAGTTCAAGCTCAAATATTGGTAAAAAAAAATGTTAAGTATCACAGAATGGAATTAAAACTTTATAAAGAAACACTAAGCCAGGAATAGTGGCACATACCACAGCTGTCCAGGTGAATGAAAGATCAAGGTCCCAAGCCAGCCCTGGACAAAGCAAATGCTGAGTCCAATATCCAGAGAGGAAACAGATGCTGTGTACACTCAGTCTCCAGGTTGCAGAGGTTTAAGTAGTTGGCTTCTGCCAAGGGAGACAAGTGGCTGAACTGAGAAGCCTGTGTGCTGTGCAGGAGGCCTAGGCTGTTACCTGAATAGGTATGTACCATGAGGTCTGTGTCACAACCACTAAAATATGTTTTTCCTCCCTTTGGATGAATGATTCTGAATATATAAATACAGCATCTCATAAACTGTAAAGCTAGAGAAAGCCTTGTCAGCTAATCCCACTAGTTTATTTTACAAATACTGGAATTTGGTGACACGGGATAATGAAGCAAAGAAAACCTGAGGTCGCACAGCTAGTTAGTATCAGAGCAAGAATAGAATGGCAGTCTCCCTTTCCAGCTCCCTCAATGTGGTCTTCCTCTTCCTGTTGTAAGGGAGCAGGAGCATATTGAAACCTGACGGCTCTACTGGAGAAACCTTGAGGTCCCGAGTGGAATTGACAGGCTCTTGGGTCACCTCCTCAGGGCTGTTAAGTGCTGGATTGAGAGGTGGTTCTTCATTCATCAGGTAGGACTTGTTCTTTAGTCCAGTGCTGCTGATTTTAGAGTGCTTACTGAGCCAGAATTGCTCCTACTGTTCACCTATAGCTACCTCCCACCTAAGCCAAGTTTCTTCCTACTATGCTGTACTTTGAATGGTTTCCAAGTCACAGAAAGAAGCTCCACAAATCAACACAGGGTGTACATAGTATCAATACAGGATTCATGCTTTCTTCCCCAAGTTTTGCCAACAAAATGAATATGATCCTTGTGATTTTGCTAGCATCATGAGATTTTCCTTTTAATTACCTTGATGCTGCTTACTGGATTTCTTACTCAAGTGAATTCCAATGGAGTTCAGAGCTTTGAGGCTTAGGAACAAGTGGGCAAAGATGCCTGGTGCATTAGGTGTACCCAAGTGTGGGTTTGCTTTGCTCACAGTCTGATTTGGTCCAGCCTTGTGGAAGATAATTTGAGAAACAGTGAACCCCAATTTACCTCAACTTCCGGCACACAGCACATTGTTACCAGTGTTTGCTATTCTGCCCTTCTTTGAGCTGGGACTCTTTGTTATGAGATGCTCTCTTAGGATTTAAATATACAACTTCCCCTAAAAGGAAATATCTATTGCTGTAGTTTGAATCTACAATGCCCTCCAAGGGCCCATATGAAAAAAGCATGGTACACAGCTTGAGTTACCATTCGAAGATGGCAGAAACTTTAAAACATGGGCCTAGTAAGAGGGAGCATCATTGGGGATGTGCCTTCTAAGGGGTCAACCATTTGCAATTCTTAACACATTGTACTCCCTCTGAGACATACTGTGCCTCCACAGGCCCAGAGCAACAAGGCCAATCAGTCTTGGACTGAACCCTCAGTATCTTCAACCCAAGATAAACCTTTCCTTTTTTAAGTTGACTTAACTATTTGTTACTGTAATGCAAGCAAAGCTAACACACCTGCCCTGCCACCTCTTTGCTTATCAGTTCACCCAAGCAGGAAGCGGTTTGGAAGTCCACTGCTTTTGTCTAGCCTGCTCCATGCAGGAGGGGACTGACCACACAGCTGCTCACAGGTCATTTCAAAAGAAAGTGTCCAGCTAATGCCTTTTTGTCTAACAAAGGCAAAAGGAGTCAATAATTGCAAATGTTGGCTCTTCTAAAGAAGCCAACCTCAGTGACATGAAGCTGTAGAAATCTTTAGATACACCACTTGAAAAAACCATTTCATATTGTCTATCCAAGCTTTATTTCCTCTCCCCCTTAACTACCCCGCCCAAACTTCATATCCAAAAGCGGTACTCTGGTGGATATCAGAACTAACCTGCCATTAAGGTTGCAGAGTTGGAGAACAGAATGGAGAATGGCAGATAATGATCACATGACCTAGGAGGAACTAGATTGCCATTCGGCCAGAATCTGCAAATTTCCAGGCCTCAAGCTTAATAAAACCAAACAAAAAAGGCTGCTGCTTACACTTAATCAGTATGAACTTCCTTTTCATAATTTACTAGAACTAGAAAAAAGTACTCTATAATAAAAGGTATACGATTTAGTAATTGTACAAAACATTAGTTTACCAAGATGATACTGGTTACAGTCACCAAAATGAACACACACTTTCCACTGCCACTTCCAGGTAAAGCTCAGATAAATAAGTCACTGGCAGAAAAGTCACAAGAGGAGCAATTTCAACTTTACAAATGACAGGAAAGATCAGTCTTCCACGATAATACTGTAGACACTTCACTAAGGCTCTCCATGCTGCCTCAGCATTACTGGAATGTTTCAGAGTTCATCTTCTACAGACATCAGCTTTTCAAGACCAAACTTGAAGCATTATATGTAATACAAAATAAGGAGTTCTTTATTATTTATACAAAACTTGTACATTAAAAAAAAATTAAGACTTAACAACTCTGCTGACCCCCTGAGGAAGCTGGGAGCTTTTATGGGTCCATCAGAGCCTGTGTAAATGATTCAGTCACCAACCTCCTGGCCACAGGAGCAAGGCACATAGCTCCAGGGCCATTCACATGGTTCCGTCATTAGCTCTGCAAACTAGCTTTCCCTTCATTAGACTTGACAAGCAAGCCAAGGTTTCCTGGACATTAAACACCTTCATCTCAGCCCAAGCTAGAGTGTTTCAGTATACAAGTTGATTTTTCTTTTATTTCTTAAACACTTTCAATAAACTAGCTTAAGAAGCTTTATTACAACATATACATATTTGATAGTTGCTTATGAAAAAAGAAAACCTAGATTTTTCAGCTAAACCAATATAAATGTCTTTAAAGAAATAAAAGTTGGCTTAGAGAAATGATAGGGTTCGTTTCAAAAGTGTGTTGCCACACTCTAAATTCTGAAAAAGGTCAGAGGCTTGCTTGTACTTGACAAGTCACCCTCGGCTAATTAACATTAACAGCTGTGATGTATTCATCGACAAGCATGAGACTTTGCGAGCGTAATGCTAAAAACATACTGTAGCTGGTCTCAGCAAACACATATTTTGACAAGAGGCCTCTTGGAACAAATAGCCTACAGAGAGAAATGCAGTTGTTTCCCTGATTAAGAACTATTTAGCACTGTTTAGCACATTTTTCTGTCGTTTGAGAAAAAGTTTTTCCCCTGAAGCAGGTCCCTTTCTGAATAATGTTGGTTATTTCCCCAAAATCAAAATACCAGCACCAAATGAATCATTAGTTTACAAAAAATAAACTTAACTAAGTTCTACAACCTAGACTAAATAAATTAACTATAAAATTAGAAGTTTATCAGCTACCATATAATTTAAAAATCCATTTTTAACCCATGAGGTTGGGGGGAAGAGCAATCTCATACAGATCACCATGAACATCATCACTTCATCAAACAAAAACACCTTTCTCCAGCTTGTATTGCCTTCCAGAATGAGTGGTGGAATCATCTGTAATGCATTCAAGCATATCCATGTTGAGATTTTCCCAAAGAGCACAGCATGTAAAGTGCTACGCTGTTTTCACATCTGAGGAGTTTGCACAGAAGGACCTTGAACCTCTTGAAGAAAGAGCTACATAGCAAGCAGTTGTCTCCCTGATCACATCTACCCATCTTCCACAAGACACTGCATTGACAGTTTTAATTCACAGATTTTATGTTAGTCTTTTAGAACCCAATGCCCGTGTTGCAGTTCAGAACTGTCAGGCAATTCACGCTGCCTTGTTGGTGCAAGTTCCTTGAAGGGCTTGTAAATTTATCTTTGACCTACAGTAGGGAAAAAAAAGACAAGTAACTGGAATGTCAGAAATGGAAACTTTTGAGACATAAGTATTAAGATCTATACTGCATTTTTTTTTTTTTTTTGGTCAGTTGCAGGGCTTAAACTCAGGGATTTGGCACTGTCCCTGAGCTATTGTGTTCAAAACTAATACACTAGTACTTTGCCACTTACGGTTTTCTCGAAATAAAGAGTCTCAAGGACTTTGTGGCATGGACTAGCTTTGAACCACGATCCTCAGATCTCAATCTCCTAAGTAGGTAGGATTACAGGCAGAGCCAACAGCGCCTAGCATTGTGTTTCTTTTAAAGTATAGAGAAAACATATTCAAGATGTCTTGAAGTCTGACCTGTTGTGAATCATGTGACTTCTGACAAGGTGTCCTGCTGCTAAGGCTGCCATAAGTGACAACTCTCCAGCCATCACTGTACCACACACAATTCGGGCAAGCTGCCGGGCATTTTCCCCAGGATTGTCTTGGCATGCTCCTTGAACACCTAACATCTGTAGCCAGAGAGAGAGAGATGAAAATCAGCCTTGAAGTCATGAAAAACAATTATTAAAACTAGAACTATAGGGCATCAGACTAGAACTAGACTCTGAAAATACTACGTTCCCAAGATTTGATAGCTGAACAGCAATGCATATTCATCTTTACACTTAATCTACTCTTGAAACTGATCGAGTGTATGCCCGAATAAGCTGTGCTCATCTGGTCACACTAGTTAAGCCACAGTCTGGAGGGGAGTAATATGCAGAGTCAGGTAGACACAGAATCCTATGAAGTCATAGCTAGGCTCTAAGTCAGTGGACTCTGTGCATGATGTGTCTGTCGTACCTGTAGACAGGCTTGCTGAGGTAGCAGGTTGGTCCCACCGCCCACAGTTCCAATTTCTATTGAGGGCATGGTGCAACTGATATATAAGTCTTCATTTGTGGGACCAGTTGCTTCCATTAAGGTAATACAATTTGAACTACCAACATTCTGTGCTGCGTCCTAGAAAAAAACCAAAAACATATACAGTATACTCTTTATTTTTTTAGAACAACAGAAAAGAGAAGTGGAGGCAGGAGCGCTCACCTGTCCACAGGCAATGTAGATAGCAGTGACAATGTTTGCCGCATGCGCGTTGTAGCCTCCTATGCTTCCAGCCATGGCAGAGCCCACCAGATTCTTGTTAATATTTACATCAATCAGAGCTTCTGTGGTTGTCTTCAACACCTAGAAGACAGTAGTGAACATTTTATGTCTTCCTCCAGGCGAGTCAACAGGCATGTGACCCAGATCTATGTATCTCCAGGAAAAAAAAATGATTTAGATGTAGTCCAATTTAAGCCATGTCCGGGATAAATAGATTATCTGTAAGTTTTGTTTCTGTGAATGCCCCACTGTGAATGGGCACTATACAGTAAAACAGCTACTTTAGTGGAAAGGCTAGCCTCATAAATCTAATTTTATTAACAATATCAATACTCTTTTCCCCAATTTTTGTATCAAACTGAAGATTACAAAACTAAAAAGGTAAGTGGCGCTGTGGCTCAAGCGGTAGAGCGCTCGCCTTGAGCTGAAGAGCACAGAGATAGCGCCCAAGCCCAGAGTTCAAGCTCCTCGACTGGCCAAAAAAAAAAAAAAAAGGTAAGATATGCAACCCATCACTCACTTCTCTGACAACCTTGGCTGGAATGACAGCTTCACAAACTACAGTCTTTCCTCTTCCTTCAATCCAATTTATAGCAGCAGGCTTCTTGTCAGTACAGTAGTTCCCACTAACAGCTAGAATTTGCATTTCAGGGAAATACTCTTGAAGTTTTGAAAGTGCTTTCTCTGTACCCTGTTAACCACAACAAAATTAAAATGCACATTCATTCTTATAGATCACAAGGCTTGTTTACACTTATTCTTAAAGTACAGAGAAGAACATACTTCAGAGAAGTAAAACGCAAAAGAAACAGCTATTTCAAGCTGTAGTCAATGGCTCAGGGCTATAATCCTAACTGCTAAGGAGGCTGAGATCTGAGGATCACGGTTCAAAGCCTGCCCAAGCAGTAAAGTCCATGATACTATTTTCTTCAATTAACTACCAGAAAGCTGGAAGTGGTGCTTTGGCTCAAAATGCTAGCCTTGAGCTTTTAAAAAAGCTCAGGGACAGCACCCCCTGAGCTCAAGCCCCAAGACTGACCAAAAAAAAAAAAAAAAGCTATTTCATAATCATCACTGAGTAACTTGATTACGTACAGATTCCTAATGTGTTTCTAAGTTTGAAAAATGATTTTGTTGTAGACATTAATGAATGCAGAAAGTCAAAATACCAAACAGGATACAAGAAATACATTCATGTCACTGCAAAGTAACTCAATCTTTGATCAACATGTAATACTTAGTAAACTGTTGTCTAAAGGCTAATAATCTGTAAAGAAAAGTAGATCATTAAACTTAATGTTACTAATGGAAATCTGGTAGATTTACATTACATAAAATATGAACAAGTTTCCAATGACTTCTAATTAATTGTTAATTAATGAGTAACAACTCAACAATTCAAAACCTATGTATTACAAATTTTTTTAAATTGTGGTAATGTACATAAAAGTGTTAGGTTTATTCAAATTTTATTATCCAGCTTCCTTTTATCTTACAAAAACTAAAGCTCTACAACCCACTAAACAAGCATCACCTATTTTCTACTCTCCCTAACATCCCTGGGTAAACACTATTCTACTTGTAGTCTATGAATTTGACTGTTCTAACTACCTGAGAAAAAAGTAGAATCAGACATTGTACCTTGTGACTAACTTCTTCCACCCAACCTAATGTCCTCTCAAGACTCATTTGTGCTGTACCAGGTGTCAGAATATCCTCCCATCTTACATATCCATCCACCTTATTTGTCCCTGTATCCACCAATAGACACTCCAGTTGTATCTACCTCTTGGCTACTATAAGTAATGCTACTCTGACCATGAATGTGAGTATCTTCTCAAGATCCTACCTTCAATTTTTTTTGTCATTTTTCTTTCTGAATAGCCCTTATAAACAGATCTGATTTTAATATTTTTTATCTGGCAAATAACAAATATCAGCAAAATATAAGCCATACACAAACTTAGGAAACAAGCAGACCATACACATATATCATATATACTTAATACATTAAAGACAAAGTCTCAAAGTCTCTAGAAGAGGTTTCAAAGGTTTTTTTATAAGCCTGTTCTTTATTCCTGAGTGAGGTAGTAATGCTGGGAACTGAACCTAAAACTTCATGTGTGCTAATAAGCATGTACTTTCACTCTACCACTGAAACAGAATCTGTGCACCAAACCCTACTTGGCTTTTCCACCCTCCCCAATCCCATACCTCAGCAAACAAAGTTTTGTTTGCTAAAATATTAAACTCAACATTCTTCCTAGTTGGCTCAGAATATGTACAATGCCATGCCTGATTTATGTATCAAAACCTATGATAAACCAATATTGATCTTTTCATATACATGGTACCTGAAAGGGCCATAGATAAGTCTATCCTCACTCTCATCTCCCTCAGCCAACTCCTGTCTCCTGGGACAATCATTCCTACAACTTCTCATTCCAGCCACTTTCACACACAGTGTATGCATGCTCACCTTGGAAATCATGTTCATGCCCATGGCATCTCCTGTCCTGGACTGAAAACGTATATAAAGGTTGCGTCCAGCCATACTCACATGAAGTTTCTGTAGGCGTGCAAATCTGTAAATAAAAGAAGCAAAGACATTTATTCTTTTAAGATGATGGACGTGACCTTAAATAGTTGTTGTTTCATGCTTAAGAGGAATATTGTTGGAGGAATCTCAAAAAGATTACTCATTTTCTTCTTTCATTAAACAAAGAGACCACTGAAGATGGGCTATAGACAACATTTTCATAATAAAACTAAATACTCTAAATTTAAAAAAAAAAAAACTAGTACAAACTATACCGGGGTTATCAGTTATAAGGATTCTGCTTTTTGCATACTCATTAAACAACTTTAAGCATCCAAGGTAAACATCTACTAATCCTGCTTAATCCTTTTTCCCCAGAGATGATTCTCAAGGCAAAACAAAAGTCTAGCCAAATTTATTATTTTACACCCTTTTTATACTAACTTACTTGTATGGAAGTATTGGAATCAACTTCCTCCCCACCCCCAAACAGGCATAAACAGTTCACGTAAGAGAGTAAATTCAAACTGTGACTCTTGTGTTAAATTTAAGCAGACAAAATATCAGTAATTGTAATATTTAGCAATCATAGAAAATGGTTCTGAAATGAACATGGACAAGTATATAAATGCTTTCACACACCTGCTGGTGCTATCAAAGGCCTCCTTGATCATTGCAAACCCTTCAGGTGTTTCAAGCCAGGCCTTCACTTCTGCAGAGTCACAAGCCCGGGGAAGACGCACCACCGGGCCTCGAGTCATCCCGTCCCCAAGGACTCGGCTGCTGGCACCTCCACCAAGCTACAAAATACAGAAGCACATGAATCCGAAAGACACTTTTGCTTGTCCCACAAGGTGTCCTTGATTATCCCCCAAATCTGGTTACTTAAGGGTTTATTTGCTTAAGGGTATATTTTTAAATAAGCAAATTAAATTCCAACTTACTCCTATTGCTCTGCAGCCCCTATTGGTGCTGGCCACAAGACAACCTTCTGTTGTTGCCATTGGAACCTGAAACTCCTTTCCATCTAAGCACAGAGGGCCTGCTACTCCAACAGGGATGGGCATATACCCAATAACATTCTCACAACAGGCTCCCATCACCTGCAAAGTCAGACAATGAGTGAATTTCATATCTACATTGCAAATACACAGCCACTCCATTCTCAATATTAGTAACTTTCTTAAAACTTAATTCTTGAGTACATTTTTTCAACAAAAATTATATTTGCTTTTTAAAAGCACTTGAAAATGCCAAAAAATTTCCAATAATGATAACAGGAAAAATAATCTATGACCTACATAAACAGAATACGAAATTACAATAATTTTTGAAAGAATATGATACTTATTTTAAAAAAAAGTCAAAGGAAAAAAGACTAAAGAAGCTACAAGACAAATCTCTAAGAAGTAAAAGAACATACCAAGGAGTAATTATAATCTCTGTAAGGTAGATATTGGAGAGAAGAAGGCTCCGGAAGCTTTTTGGAAAGTAACTGTCGGCGAATAGATACACCTCGTTCATGGGTTTCCATCAGAGTTTCCAATTTGTAAGCTGGGATATGCTTAGCATTGACCAATTGTATGATCTCAGCATCACTAAGGAATTTCGCACCTTTCTAAAGAATTAGGAAAACAAGAAAAAGTTACAGAGATCAGAGAGGGAGGTGATAGAAGACCTGAAAGATGATACTTTCATTATTCACAATTCTAAATTATATAAATCTTTTATATCACTGCCATTTTTATTTATTTCATTTTATTTTATTTTTGTGCCATTCCTGGAGCTTGAACACAGGTCCTGAGCGCTGTTCCTGAGCTTTTTTGCTCAAGGCTAGTACTCTACCACCTGAGCTACAAGCTCAAGATAGAGATAGGAGATAACAGTCTTGTGGACTTTCCTGTCCAGGCTGGCTTTGAACCGTGATCCTCAGATCTCAACCTCCTAAGTAACTAGGACCACCAGTGCCCAACTACAACTACCACTGCCATTTTTAATAGAAAGATATTGCAACACTGTTTTAAAATCATGTAATTAAGCAATGCCAAGTGACTATGAATACCATAGCACTGTTATTTTTACATTACAAAGACAGATTTTCATTAATACGTAGTAAATAGAAAATTAAATATGACTGTTCAAAGCTAAAATGTATATTAGGATTTACAAGTGTTGTCCAAACTACTGTGTATGTTTACATTTTAGTTCTTGACAAATAATATATTTACATGGTTAATTAGTCTTCTTTCTATAATTTTATTTGCCATCCTGCCTGAATAAAGCTGAGGAGGGAAAGGAATATGTTCTACATGAAAAAAAATTTTTAAGTCAATCAGATTAAGGAGATATGGATGGAATATAGTATTTGTGTTAAAATGACTGTTGTTGTATGATTGTGAGGTAGAAGAAACCTAGCTTCCACATTAGTTCAACCTCAAACAAAAATGACAAAATTTCTTCTAACTTTGAAGTTCACCTCTGTGATATACACTTTCAGTCTACACCCATAAAAAAATGCAATAGTTGCTCATCTCAAAGAAAAGCATAAAAAAATGAATGTTAGTTTTTGAGTCTAGAACCAGAATATTTCAGATCCTGCTCCAAACTTTACCATTTCCTGTTGGGTTTCTCATCTGAGAGGTAGAGATAATTCCACATACCTCACTCATCGTAAGAGTAAACCATGCAACACAATGCGTAGAATTTAGTACCCAGAAGATTCTAGTTTTTCCTTTAATAAAAAAAGCTCCTTTTTAATGAAAATTTCCAAGCAGGTGTTGATGCTCTTAGCCTCACCTCTGCATTACCAAGTATCTCCAGACATTCTTCATTAGATCGAGGTTCCTTGGGAAGTTCAATCTCAGGTTCCTGTGTCCCCATTATTGATGGAGTACTGGGTAAGGAGGAGCCACCAAGCACAAATGTAGCTCTGTTTGAGGTGTCAGTTTCAGCCAGTAAAGGTTTTATCACTTCAACTGTTCAAAAGACCCAAAGAAATCTCAAAACATTGAAAATCACTGTTTAAAAGGATGCTGTGACAAATCAATGGAAGAAATGGAGAATAAATTACCTTTTCTTTCTTGGCTTATCCCAGTCTCTTCCTCCACAGTCTGGAATTTTTGGTTATTTCTGACCAGCAGAGGCTCTCGTCTACAACAGTTCTCTTGGGCTTTCTTTGGGGTCACAACAGGAGATGTGATAGGATTTTTTAATGAGAGTGTAGATTCTGTTTCTGCTTGTTCAAAGAAGATGTATTTGACAGCCAGAAGGAGAGCTAAACTTAGGGTAATAACTTGTTCAATATCCATGCTGATCATTCTAAATAAAGAAAGCAAATATAAAATGTACAACCTATACTTCAAGGGCACAGAGTACTATGACTAATGAACAATACAGTAAGCTTCTGTACACTTACTTGGAAAGGTAAAACTGCCAAAGGGAAACACTTGGTTCAATTCTCTTGGACACATTTTCATCCAGTCCTAAAGAAACCTTTGAGTGTTCTGCCGTGCTATTTTGAGGAGAAGGATCAGCTATCCAGCGACTATGAGCATGAACAAGAACCAGGCCTAAAGACTGAAATAAAATTTAAAAATTATGTATCTTTTGATTCTTACTAGAATTTAAATTTCTCGTCCCTAACAACTGACAACCATACCACCATCTTCCTTGGCTTCTCCTCAGCATAAGAAAGTCACTACATGACTAACAGTAGAACCCCATTACTACTCAAATATCCCAAACATCCAGGTGGAGGAATTTAGTGGGGAGACAAAGACTAGCAGCTTCAAAGAAATGAGCAAATGAAAAGGGAATATAGTGAAATCTCACTGGAAGCTGAAGACTATAAAGAAAAAGGAAATTTAAAAAAAAATTGCTCCAATTGTAAACTGACAGATAAAGAAAACTGCTATTACCATAATCATTTTGACCCTCTGGGTTACAGGATTTGGTTTATTTTCTTCTTCTTCCAAAACCCGGGCAAAATGGCTGAGCTGCCAAATTGGACGACCCTCACGACTTTCCCGAGAAAGCTAAAAAGTAAAAGCAATAGATTAAAAGGTTCTAATTTTATTTAACTGATGCAATGTGCAATATTACTGTTCTACTAATGCCATAAGTAAGATGTGTCCGTACCTCTAATACCAATGACACACATGCTGGGAAAAAAGTCATGAACACGAAGTAGTTGGCAAGAACTGACATGCAGCCAAAGCAACACATTATTTCTAGTTGACGCACCCCTGTTCAGAGAAAAATTCAAAGCATTAAACTATATGTATTTGGTACCATATATATAAATGACTTTCTCCGCAGAGACACTTACGTGAAAATATAGGTACAGAAAAGAGGAAAAGGAAAGGGAGAGTGATTATTATTATAGAAAATAACATAGCCCAGCGCTGGTGGCTCACGCCTGTAATCCTAGCTATTCAGGAGGCTGAGATCTGAGGATCGCAGTTCAAAGCCACCCCGGGCAGGAGAGACCGTGAGACTCCTATCTCAAATAAACCACCAGAAAACCGGAAGTGGTGCTGTAGCTCAAGTGGTAGAGCGCTCGCCTTGAGCTGAAGAGCTGAGGGACAGCACCCAGGCCCGGAGTTCAAGCCCCACGACTGACAAAAAAAAAAAAAAAAAAAAAAAAAAAATAACATAAACCCACCAAAAACCATTCAAAAGGTGACATAAGGAGAAAAAGGGGTTTAAAAACACTGTATTGATATGCTATAGAATTTGATCAAAGTATCTGATCAACATACATTACAACGTAATAAAGCTCATTTGTATATTTTTGCTAATTTTTTTAATATTACTACAGTAAACTCTGCCATCTACTGGGATCTAGAATTAACAGTGAAGCTAAAGCTTAGAGAACAACAAGAATTACTAGGGATCTCTCGATCCCTCAAAAGCAGAGAGACATTGTCTTCTCAAGTTCCCAACAACCCAAGACCAGGCATGGTAATTTTGTTTTAATATATATATATATATATATATATATATATATATATATATATATATATATATATATAATAAGCCAAAAATGTTTTTGTCTTTCTCTTAGCAAATGGCAACATCTTGTTTTTGGATAAAAATATAAAGGATAAGCCACTCTGAAGAAAACTTCTATTCCTCCAATATTAACTACTGACTTTATTTCATTTTTAACCACAAAAGTCACATTATTGATTTAGGATATTACCTAACAGAAATCAACTACTTGCTTTTAAAGCAAGTTATTTCTGAAGGAATAAGCCTCTCTTATTAAGGAGGATAAGGTACCAGGAAAAATACCAGAATAATAGTTAACCAAATAAGCATAATCTTCAGCAGGACATGGTGGCACATGCATATAATGCCAGTACTTGAGAGCCAGAGGCAAGAAGATCTTGGCTTCCAGACTAGCCTGGATTACATAGCAAACCCTGGCTCAAAAAATACAAGTATGATCTTCAAGAGAAAGCCATAAAATCCAGTCCTAATAATTAGGAGACCTCCCCAATACCATGATACTAATTTTCCAGCAAGGCAATAATTTGCACCCTATATATTAGTACTTAATTAGTACCAATGAAGGATGAGGAAACATACTGGGTACTCGCTAAGATGGACTTACTATCTGTTTAACTCTTCCCAACCACCTTATTAGGTACTTGACTCTTCCTGCACTGTCTCCTAAAATGACAATTAAAACTCAAAGAATCAACTCACTAATTTAGTCTGAGAAAATCAAGAGCAGATCAAGCTTGGCATATAATTGTTAAAAACCACACACAAAAAATATACTACAAAACAGAACATAGAGGAAATGGCAAGGTGGGTGACAGTCCCTCATGCTTGTAATCCTAGCAACTTAGGAGGCTGAGATCTGAGGATCATGGTCCAAAGCCAGCCTAAGCAGGTAAATCCATGAGCCTCTTATTTCCAATAAGCTAGAAGTGGAGCTGTGGCTCAAGTAGTAGGTACTAGCTTTGAGCTAAAAAGCTCAGAGCCAATCCCAGGCCCTGATTTCAAGCCCCTGAACTTAGACCAAAAAATACAAATACCCACGGCCCCTTCAAAAAAAAGAAAATGGCAAGAGTGAAATTATCAACTACTACATTTGCAGCAAAGTGAATAAGCACAAGTCAAATATATCCGCACATTGATACAATTTCAACTGAAGTCAGAATTTAAGAACAAGCTGCAAATCTAGGATATTTTTTTCCTCTTCAGTGACTTGCTAAAAATATTATTAAATGTCAGTTAGTATTAAATTGCTTACAAACCTGACATGGTACCAACACCAATCACAAGACATTCGACAAGAGCATCAAGGGTGAATGTGGGACCCAAAATTGCCATTCCACGAGCAATATTTTCCCTTACTTCATCCTAATAAACAGACCAAACACATAATGAGGGTAAAGAACAAAGTAATTTCTAAAATATAAGAATCCTAGGACTTACACTAAAACCTAATGTACTTTTCATATGATGAAATTCATAACTAAGGTGTTCTAAATACACAGAACAGTAGAAATACAGAGAAATAAATGAAAAAGAACTCATATATTATACCCTGCTTCTCTTACCAATTGTTCTAGGGAATATTCCTTCAAGGTATTGCAAGAATCCTGTCATTTAAATTCCACATAATTAAATCCTACACAATATTATATTTGGCTACCACCAACAGAAGCTTTAAATTTTTTATGAGGCCATGTTAGTATTATAAAACTTAACTCATTTCCTTGTCAGCATATTCAAACGATCACAAACATTCATTGAACACATAATCATACACAGCAGGATCATACAAAATATAGAGGGGAGCTTGGTTTAAGATGATAAGCTGTTTTATATTCAAGATACTATGATACAAGATCGCTTATAAAAATGGTAAAGGGTTTTTCTTTTTTTGTGTGCAGGTACTTGGGCTTGAACTCAGGGCCCGCTTTTTGTGCTCAAGGCTAGCACTCTACCACTGGAGCCACAGCTACATTTTGATTGTTTGTTAGTTGGAGATAACAGTCTCATGGAATTTCCTGCCTGGGCTTGCTTCAAATCATGATCCTCAGAGCTCAATCTCCTGACTAACTAGGATTACAGGCACTAGGCTAAAGTTAAGATTTTCTTTTTTAAGTGACTTAAAGAACATTAAGATGAAACTTAGGATGGGAAATAATCCCAGTAACAATTCAAAGGGCTTAAAATTGAATCTTCCCTGCTGTTATTTCCCATCAGATCTTATCTGTTCTCTATTATCTTACTAGATACGATTTTTTTCCACTTATCCAGATCATTTAACTGTAATTTCTGAAAACTTTCAAACCAGAGAAAATGCTAAATTCCAGTAACTATGAAATCTTATTTGAGTCATTGGATAAAAAGGACTATTCTTTGGGCACTTATACAGATCATTCTTAATGCTTCAGAATTAAAGTGAAAATGTAAGGAAGTCTCCGAATCTTAAGCTATGAAGAAACTGTAATTTTTCCTGTTGGTGTAAACAAACTTTAAAAAGGGAATTTTAATCACATTCCTATCTTATATAAGTAAAACTTACCTGTGAGTTAGAACTTAGAGCAAACTTTGCTAATGCACTTGCTCTGGAAAGATCAATCAAAAGTAGGAAAAAAGGCAAAGCTTCACTGGGGAAAAATAAAGAGTAGATACATTTAGTAAGAGGAAAAATAGGTTTTAAAAAATCTATCTTAAACCACAACTCCCCTCCATACTTTGTATGATCCTACAGTATATGTACCTTTCTGCAGATCAAAAAGTTTTCGCAATACTTCTTTGGTATATCCTCATACTAATCACAATAGCTATTAAAAATGACAGATGAGCTTATATGCTTATTCCAGCTACTACAATGGGAAGTACATAAGAGCATGGTTCAAGGCCAGTACACACATAAAAAAGTTAGGATGATCCTATGCCTAAAATGCAAACTGGGTGTACTGGTATACTCCTGCATACCTGTAATCATACCTACTATGAGTCACAAGTAGAAAGACCAAAGTTCAAGGCTAGCTTGGGCAAAAGCACAAAACTTTACCTAAAAAATAAACTCAAAAGCAAAAAAGGCTGAGAAGGTGTGTGTATATTCGAGTGGTAGAGCACTTGCCTAACAAGTACAAAGATCCAGAGTTCAAACTTCAATACCACCAATGTTTTTAATGATAAAATGTAAATATATTTATATAGAAAAACTCACTAATGCTATTAACTTAATAGAAAAATGTCATTAATTTAAAAAATCCTTAGGGCCAGCAGTGGTGGCTAGCACCTGTAACCCTAGCTACTCAGGAGGCTGAGATCCAAGAATCACAGTTTGAAACCAACCCAAGCAGGGAAGTCCAAAAGATACTTATTGCAAAATAACCACCAAAAATCTGGAAGTGGAGTTGTGACTCAACTTTGAGTGAAAAAGCTGAGACAGTACCTAGTCCCTGAGGTCAAACCCCAGTACAGAAACAAAAAACAAACAAAAAAAAAAAAAACAAAAAATACCTTAAATTAGTATTGAGAAAAACATGGAATATATTTTTTTTAAACTGTTCATTAATCACTACTTGTAGAAGGATAAAATAAACTTTCTAGATGGTAAGTAGCACCAAAAAAAGCTACCAAAAAGAAAGGCTATCCCAATCCCAGAGATATATCCTAAGGAAATAATTATGAATGAATAAAAATGTGTCTACAAATATACCCACTGGTGTTATTAACAAGGAAAATTAACCTAATAATCCAACATTAGAAGATTAACTATAAAATATTGATATAGCACATCCCTAAAAATACAGTTAAATATTAAGGACTTAGAAAGATGCTATTATTAAAAGCATACAATTGTAAAAAAAAATTAGTATAATGTTAGAAAGTTTAAGCATAAGTGCGAAAGAACATGTTAACATTCTAACAGCAGTTAAAATTAGCTAATAGTAAGGTTACATGAAAAATTTCCTCAGTTTCTACTCTCCTGTAAATTCATGTATTATTTTTACAGCACATTAAGTTCTTAAAATTATATTTTGAGAAAAACATACATTTTTGGCTTTAAATACTTACTTCAAGCCTGTAAGTTCTTTATCTAAAAAGTGAATGACAACTGTACTGAATACAAAACTGGAAAAAATTGTGAAGAGGCCAGCAATACCTAAAATAGACAAAATTCAACACTGAAAAACCTTTACTCTTCATTACAAAAATAGTAATACTTAGTTTACCCAAAGACACTGAGATAGAGTACAAATTTTCTCCATATTATTAAATAAGGTCCCAAAGTTTTAGAATGTCTAGTTCCTAGTAGTAAAAATGGAAACTATTTACTACCCAGTAGCAATACACACATTTCCAAACACATGATGTGAGCAAACTGTTCATCTGAATAGGAAATTAAAAATCTGCTGGCCATAAGAAACATAAATGCATTACCTAAAATATATTTTGATCCAAGTTGGCGTAAATTCTGGAACTGGAAGTAAATATACAGGATCGCTATGCATCTTGTTATCGTTAGGATTATAATGTCACTGCTCAAAACATCCTATTGGAAGGAATAAAAAATGAAGTTCCAATAGCATGAACTTTTTAAAAAAAAGCAATAAAAATAAGAATTTTTATTTTAAATATCATTAGTTTACAAATTACCACAATATAAATGTAAGCATATTGCTTATTGAAAGTATCAATAAAAAAACAAAAGTATCAAAATACAAATAAAATATTAAATGAATTTTTAAATAACTCACTGTAATGCCGATTTATTACATCTTTCACTGGCAGACACTTATAAAAGATTTATTTTTCAATTAAGTCAATTCTACTCACTTGTATACAAAAAGTCAAGAGCATATCTATTGCATTACCATTCCCATGTAAGTAAACAAATCTGAGGTAAATTCATGAGTATTAAAAGACATAATTTTTTGGCTACAAGTTTTCTAAAAGGAGATACTCTTTAGAAACGGAAGTATAATTTAGTCAGTATCAAGATAATTTCACTGACCTCTTCAAATTTTGGACACTCATAATTCCAACCACAGATTTTGTTGTTACCAGTGAACATGTTCATGGACATCATACAGATGGTCAGTGTCACGGTCCCCACTATGACTTCCCAGGGATGGGAGGCCACAAAGAGGCCATGCATTCGGAAAAGTCTCGACAACATCGTAGCTGCAGAATCCTTGGATCCTGGGAAGAACAAATGAGAATGTTTGGTATACAGCCAACTGGACTTTTAAGGAAGAGTCTTAAGTATACTGCGAACCCTGCCTTGTATGCAAAGTGTCTTGTACAGAAACAATGAGTGTTCCTTACGATTCTGGAAAATAATGCTAAAATTAAAAGGACTCATGATCCATTGGCAACCAACTGATAAGCAATCCTTCCCCCCCCCCTCCCTTCTTTCCTCTCCCTCCTCCTCCTGAAAAATGCTTGCTGGTCATTCATTCAGTCATTTCGTTCTTATAATAATATAGTCACAGAGATGCCCAGTAGGCTCTGGGAGTTGTGGAGAAACAAGGAGGCAGACACAGTGGTTACCACAGGGCAGAGATGGCCAAAGGTGAGCACAGAAGGACAGAAGGATACAGAGGTGAGTGCCAGAGCAGAGTATGAAGGTCAGAACCCCCTGTCCCAAGTCTGTCTTCTTAAGAGCTGGGTAAATCTCTCAGCCTTTGTGCTTCTAGAGCCAAGCCCAGTGTTCTACAGGACTCAATAACCCCAAGTCATTTCTTTAAAAAAAAATTCAAGTTTTAGAAAACAAAACAAAAAAACACTTTGCATTTTCTAATTATTTGGTTATAAAACACATGAGCAGCTCTTCATCATTTACATTCTGATTGCACAAAGGTAAGTTTCAATCTACTCGCTGAAGCATATTAATCTATAAGCTGCTCAAGGGCAGAAACCCATTACAGTCCATCAAACACCTATAATAATATTACTAGGAAAAGTCTTTTCTGATAGATGTTTCTACATTTAAAAAAAAAGGCAAGACTTTGATGTGGCTGCTTCATGGATCAAAAATAAGAGACAGAAGACTAAAATTAAATATAAAATGCTCCTAAACTTTTACTACTAATCAAACTAGACTAAAACAGGTTAAGCATTAAGAACGGGATTTAAACTGATTCCCAACATAACCCCGAAGAGATCTGAGCTTAGGACTAAATATCTCCATGCTTGCAATTATTCAAAAATAAAATTATAATTTAAAAACTAAGCTCACAGATTTGCCACTCTGGCAAGAATTCAAATCAGTCTCATATTTTTTTTTTTTTTTTTGGGGGTCCGGTTGTGGGGCCTGAACTCTGGGCCTGGGCACTGTCCCTCAGCTTTTCAGCTCAAGGCTACCACTCTACCACTTGAGCCACAGCGCCACTTCCGGCTTTTTTTCTTTTTGCTTATGTGGTGCTGGGGAATTGAACCCAGGGCCTCATGCATGCAAGGCAAGCACTCTACCACTGAGCCACCTTCCCAGCCCTCAGTCTCATATTTATTAAGAAAGTGATTCATCATTTAAAGACAGGAAGTAAATGAAGAAAAGAGAGCACTCACCTATCTAAAGAGATATGGGAAAGGAAAAAAAAAAAAAGTAGCTTTTAGGACTGAGGCAGTTACCCAAGTATCATCTCTTGGTAACCAACTGCATCACTCTACATTCTCTACACTTGGCCACCAGCCAGATTAACTAGTTTTCAAGCTGTAGGTCAGAACCCTTTACTGGATTAATCCAAACCACAAAGTTAATTTTGTTGGTAAGGATATTTTAAATATTTTAAATGAAATTTGAAAAAATAATATTTAAAGTAGAGGTTAGGGAAGACACATAGTATGGATAAGTATTATTTCTTGAAACTCTATCTGTAGTAAAACTATTCATATGCATGTTCTGGCTTCCAACATAACACACATTTCTTACTGTGGTTAAGAATTGTGGATCACAATTTTAAAAGGTTAGCAATGGCTAAAGGTCTCCAAATGTGGCATGTATCCTAATCTTTCAACCTCGCATCTTGAATGTTGTCATTTTGCTCTCCAGTATCTTAAACTCAGATATAGCAGAATTGAACAAATATCTGGAAAATGAGCAAAATACTTTCTATTTAATAAAATACTTTCTATTCAATGTCCCAGAAAGTAAATTAGTCTAAAATCTATATTGAAATTATTTCTAATTTTCCATACCTAAACATAAATAAATCACAAACAGGCTAGAAAATCTTCTTTCAACCCATGAAGCAATATTTTTCAACACTATTAAAAATTCAATTAAAATCTGAACTGCAACCAGGAAGCAGTTCAAATTTAGATTACAAATTCATTAAGCATAAATCCACATTTAAATATTAGGCACATTATGTTTAGCTTCAAATAGGTTTTCTGGTGGCATTGTTAATTCTGGTCTCCCCCCCCCCCCCCCCCCCAGATGTTACCTTTTCAACATTCAGGAAAAACGTATTCATCAGCCCCAAACAGCTGCCCTATGTGGAAATGCAACCTGAGCAACCTACAAAGGTAGGTCACAAGTAACCATAACTATAAACAATCTCATTTCTCACAGTACCCTTCCCATTTCTGGGTGATCATGCAAAGCAAACATATGCCATAAGATCTAATCTTCACCTTCATCAGCAATTCCAAGTATTACTATCAGACTACAGAACATCCCATATAAATTCAACACAGTATTAATAGAAAACAGCTTTTACTTGAAGAAAATAAGGGAAATAAGCAACCTATGCTTTGCTTATTCAGAATGAAAATATACTGAAAACATTTCAGTCTTTGATAGTATGCTAATTAAGTTCACTGGAATCCTTAAACTTATGCAGTCTGCTACTGAACCTATCTCCCATGGCCAATCACAGAAAAATATGCTATGGCACTCGGATGCTTTCTTTCTTTTCAGTAGCACTTCTCCTGTATTATGTACTTCACCATTTGATTCTATAGTGTTTTACACTGTTCTCAAATTAATGTGCACATGTCTCTTTGAAGGCAAAACCTGTCTTATATTGAAATTACTTTTAATCCCAAGATGATCTAGCACAAACTACTATCCTAAAAAGTCATCAGGATCTTGCACTGGAAAAAGGCTGGATTCTACATGCAATTCTGTTACAAGATAGCATTTGTAAATTACATCTTTCCATTCACTTGGAGCTCCAAGTTGTCAAAGTATTAAGTGGAACCATGTGAAACTGCTATCTGTAGGCTGGGGGAGTGGGAATCAAATTTCAAATACTGGCAGTTTTATGAGTTAACCTAAAGATGTTTATATAATATGATCCATTTATCCATGAATACAAATTAAACCATGAGATTAGGATGTACACACATGCCACACAATCCCACATGCACACTTCATGTAGAATGGCCATTTGTGTCAGACACAAATCTTCATGTTAATGCTAAAATGTACGCATATTACCTTAACCCTTCATGTTACTAATTCACATTTGTCCTTAATGCAAGTTTAACAAACAAAAAAAAAAAATCTAGTTTTATCTCAAAAGTATTCTCTACCACCAGGGATGGGAAATCTCATTTCTGCCAAGGGCCATCTGGATGTTCAGTAACATGAATGGACAACACAAAATTATCAATAGAGGCAGCCGATGAAAAGCACAGAAGAAACATACATGGCTGTCCAGTGCTAAATGATTCTCAAAAAGGATTTCGGGTTGGGCTCCCTACTCCTGCAAGGCCTGTTGCTAACAGCTTCTCAAAAGTCTTTCACAGCAGTAGAAAATCACAAGTTTAAAAAAAAAATCACTACTTTTTAAGGCGCTGAAGTTATGCACGATTATTCAGTATGGCTCTGAAATCCTTCCTCAGGACAAAGTCCAAGAAGGCATTATCCTCATACTGACACATTCCACAGGACCGCGGGAAAGGGGGTACATATCTGCTCCTACCACAAAAATCACCTCCAAGGTGTGTTTTCTCTAACCCAAGAAGGAAAGCTTACAAGGTCTGAACTAAAGACATCAACACCAACGAGACAACGCCCCTAGGCTGAAGAGCACGATGGAGAAAGCAGTCTCCTGTGCCTCCTGGGTATGGTCCTATTCTGGGCTCGGTACTGCGCCGGCCCGTTCTCAACAAAAAGGACCGGATCTGTCTCCGCGGGTGCAAGGGTTTTGGGTTCACGGAGATCTTCCTCGTCCGTGTCCTAACAGGCCCGGGGTTAGAGCAGCGCCCGGCCTCCGCGGTCGTTCCTCCCATCCGCTTTGAGCGCCGCCGGCCTCACTGCCCCCAACCCTCAGCAATCCTCCAGGAGAGGGGGCGTCCAGGGTCGCCCTACTGGGCGCCCGTTGGTCTCAGGGTCCCGACGGCCTCGGCCGGTACTGCTTACTTCCGACCGGGCGGACCAACGAGGCGACGCCCCGCCAGGGCACCGGCGGCGGCGGCGGCAGTCACCCGAAGGCCGGTCGGCCGGCCCGCCCTTCAGGACCGGCCCGGCCCGCGGCGACCCTGGCCGCGAGGACCCTCGCCACGGGGCCCGCCGCCACCCGGCTCTCTGGGCCTCAAGGACGTCTGCCCGCAGTTAGCGCGCGCGCGATCGCACAGGGCCGCCACACCCGCAAAGTGACCGGCACCGCAGCTCCCGCCAGGTCCGGCCCGGGGCGACCCGCAATCACTCCCCGGGTACCGTTACCAACACGGCCCCAATCCCCCCCCCCCCCCCCGGTTCCCCTTCAACAGCCAACGCCCGCCTCACCTCCGGATCTCATTAGAGGCCACCGAACCCCCCTTAGTGCCGGTGCTCCGCCGTCTCCAGCCAACGGAGACGCGGAGCGGAAGGAAATCTGCTCTTACGCACGCTCGGGACTAAAGAGCTCGCGACCAATCACAAACGATCTTCCGATCGTCTAGCCAATCATCTGGTGACTCCGAGGCCTGACGGACTACGTCACGAGCAGTCGCCTTAACAACCACCCACAGCTCTCACCCAGACGGAGAACAACCACCGCACCATCTCTCACCACGGCTCAGCCAACCAATAGCTGGCCGAGTCTCAAAACCAAAAGCTGCCCATTGGTCCACGAGCCGTGGGGGCGCAAGTATGGAAGCAGCCCAAACGAGGGCGATAAGAAATCTGGCGGTGCGGCGTCGGGCTGCCCAAGGCCCTGACCTCTGGTCCTCCTGGCTAGGGAAGTTATGGGAAACAGAGGTGTGAATCGATGGGGAAGGAGCGCAGGGTCAAGATGCGGGTAGCTCTGGGAGAAGTCGAGTGAGATGGAGGGACAGAGAGAAGGCTCCCAATAAAAGAGGGATTTTAAGAAAGGAAGGCTCACGCCTGTAATTCTAGCTACTCAGGAGGCCGAGATCTGAGGATCCTGTTCACCACCAACCCAAGGAGAAAAGTCCATGAGACTCTTACCTCGCTAGCCTAGAGCCGAGGCTCAGGGGTAGTGCATACGTGGGGTTCAAGCGCCAGGATCAGCAAGAAAGGAAAGGAAGGGAGGATGGGAGAAAGAGAGGAAGGGAAGGAGGAAGGAATGAAGAGGGGGGAGAGGGGATGGAGGGAAGGAGGGAGGGATGGTCGGTGGCATTGTGGTGCAAGGCAAACCGCAAGCCAATCCTAGCCGTATACCCTCCTGTAACTTACCCATTAGTGTAAATGGCTCCTTCGGTCTTCTCTCTTCTGTGTGGGGCACCTGTCTCTCTCACACACACTGTTGGCTCTTTCTGAAATGTGCCTCGCCTGCCTGTGTCATCTCTGAATTCCTTCAGATGAATTGCTCCATCTGGTACTTATGGGCCTTCATCATCTAAAACAATGCAATAGTCTCTCCTAACTGGTCTTTCCACCTCTGATCTTTTCCACCTTCCAGTGCATCTTGCACTTCTGCCAGCCACGGTAATCTTCCTCTTATGCCATAATTTCTCATGTCGATTGGATTAAAGTATAAGACACTACCCATATGGCCCCACCCCACATTTCTTGGGTATCACTCACTCCTTCCCTGTGTGGCCCTACATTTCAGCCCGAATTGGCCCTTCTTCAGGAGTTGCTTTCAATAGCTTATGTCCTTCCTTACTTGTCATCTATTAGTTTGACTCAGACATGCCTGCCCATTTTTTAAATACTAATCATTAAGCTACACTGAAGGACCATTCATATACCACCACCTTTCCTGATTCCAGGAATAAGCCATCTCTCCCTACTCTAAACACCCATAAGATTTTTGTAACTTGTGACTTGTCTTCTTTGGAAATTGCTTAACGGGAAGAATTGCACTGTACACAATTTTAAAGGGCCACCTTATAGTTTGAAAGTAATACACAATAGGAATTTTAATATACGGTTATCTTGTTAGAATCTAATAATTATAAAATGAGCATTATCATTTTGCAAAAAAAAAAAAACTGACTTTGTTAAATGACTCAAAGCAATTAGAAAAACTGGAATTTGAATTTAGCCATAAAGCCTCTGCTGGTTCTGTGTTTCACTGCTATACTAAAGGACCTTTATTTGTATATTTTTTTTACCAGATTCTTTGAAACATTATGGACAGTGCACCACAGTTGGCACTGGAGATAAAGCCACAAACATGACAGACATGGAACCTAATTTTATAAACTTTACATAGCAAAAACCTGAGCTAGCCAAAGACTGAAGGAGGGAGGGGAGAGAGAAGAGTGGAGTAGCAAGAGAGGAAAAGGAGGAAGGAAGAGGGCCAGGTATACCAAGGACCTCAAAACTGTAGTGCTCCTAGAAATCTAAAGGGCCAAATATCAGATTTAGAAGTCTTTCACAGAGTACAAAGGCTTATTAATATACATTTACAAAAGGATTATAAAGCCATTACTACAAAAGGCAAGACAAGGTTTGGAAACTTTTATTCCCAAAATCTGCTAAATAGGTCTCTGAGTTCAAAAGCAGCAGGCAGTGAGAAGTTGTGTAGAGCATCTGAGTGGTAGAGCACTTGCCTAGATGTTTAAAGCCCTGAGTTCCATCTCCAGCACCACCAGGAAGAAAAAAAAAAGAAGAAAAGCAAATAATAAAACTCTAGTTTTATTCCTTAAAACAACTTTTATATAATTCCCAAAAAGTTGTTTCAAAAGAATTGTTAATAATTATACTTAATGATAAATTGCAAAATTTGGCTTGGGTCATACTATAAAATAGGGAATTATAACAATAACAACATTATATGGCTTTATGTGTTACTTTCCTAATTGTCTTATGAGGGAAACATTAGAATCTGTGTTTTACAAATGGAAAAGTTATAGAAATAGAAAAGTAACTTGCCTAAGTTCACACAGCAGGCACAGAGCTGAAATGTGAACTCTGAAATCCAGCTTCCAAGCACACTTTTAACCATGTAACTGTCTACTTTTGTGTTACATAATATGCACTACTCTGTATTAGAACATCTTGTATAATTGTTTAGGGTTCTAAGTCTCCTTTGCAAAAGACTTCATAGTCTTCATAGTTCTGCTTATCGATTTCCTCTAGTTCTCTGTTGTGTTCAAATTTGTATATTTCAGCATCAGGCAAATCTTTCTCTTTGCCCTATACGATATATGATGTTTATTTTAAATATTTCAAGATTTTTTTGCAAGTAGTAATTGGTCAAACTTAGTTTTTGGCTGATACAATGATAGATTATTTCCATGAACAAAGATTGAGACATATTTACTGGGACCTATGCTATGCTATCCAGATTAAGTTCTCAAAATACAAAATTAGCAGGGAGGAGAAATCTTGGGGAAAGCAAGGGAAAGGGTGACATCAAACCAAAAAAAAAGGAATGTACTCATATACCTGACTTATAAAATGGTAACCCTCCTATATAACACATTCATAACAAAAATAACATTATATTTTAAAAAAAGATTCAAAATTAAATTAAGAAACCATACAAAAACATAGTTCCTTTCCAGATAACATAGGAAGCATTCTGAGCAAAGGATGCACAAGTCTAGTGAGAATAGAATGGGTGTGTTTTGAACAAGGGAAAGATTTGAAGACAAGATATGGTACGAAGGCCAAAATTGTGAGCATGAGAATGAATGGTATAGATACATGAGAAGAAAATTTAATTGGTCTGAAATCCTAAAGTACTATTGACTAGGAGCTAGGCAGTGTAGTTCACTAGTAAAACTCTTGTTTGGCAAGTGGGAGGACCAGAATTTGGTCCATAGTATCACAAAGAGAGAAAAAGGAGGAGGAGGAAAAGGAGGAAGGGAGATTAAAAAGGGTGGGGAGAAAGGGAAGAGAGAGAAGGATCAGGAAGAAGAAGGGAGAACAAGTCTTGGGCAAGTTAACAGATCTATAACAGCTGGCATGAAAATCAGCTAAAAGTCTCAGCTATTGCTCTTGAGTAGCAAAACTAAACTTTCTGCTTCTTAATTCCTAAAATTTATCAACTGGAATCAATACTCAGAACCTCTTCCGAAACTAGTAATAGGAGAGTCCGAACAAATGTATGGGCTACCTTCTAACCTTGCTTTCACTATTTTTTCCCCCTTTAGAGTTCTTTATTGCCCTCTTTATACCTTTCCAAGCTTTGTAGAATCAGTTGGGGAGCAGACACAAACTGGAAAAGACGTTTTGTTTTTGTTTTAAAGGAAAATTTTTTTTTATCATTTTATCATAGTGCTAAATTTTATTTAAAAAGGAATTATTTTCCTCAGGAAATTTCTTCCACAACATAGAAAAGGCATCTGTATCCTGAGATTCTTAAAATTTTTTAGCCAAAGAAATTGATTCATAAAGGAATTAATGGAAGAGAAAGAAAGGATAAAGAAGGGCTCTTCTTTACTCAAATATAAGCATTACTTCTCCCTCAATAGCCAACATCACTTCTCTCTCAATAGCAAACTTTGTCCTGGACCCAGCAAGAGTGGAGTAAATATGTACTGCAAAGGCTGTATCCGGTGAGTCTCCAAGTCCAACTCCCTTTCTTCTATTAACCTTTATTGTCCCAGTCTCAGCCTCTCCCTCTGACTCCAAATTCCAAGCTTTCTAAAAGCTCCTGATAGATGAATCGGAAGGCAGTAATAATGGAACCAAGGAAAAAGTGGGAAAGATGTGGATAAGGTCTTGCCAAAGAAGTTGTGAAAGAAGACGCAAGAACAGTCGTCCAAGGAGAATGCAGATTTCACAGGACTGAGTTCATTCTTGCAAGACAGGATTGTTATAAAGTGAGGCTACCTCATGTATTGAGCCTCTTCTCGAGTGGCTGGTCCTTTGCCATTTCTCTATCCTGTTGTGATTCAACCAAAGTTGGCCCCATGCTGTTTGGACTTGCCAGTCATCAAAATCACGAGTCAATTAAACCTCTTTATAGATTACTCAGCACCAGATATCCTGTTACAGCAACACAACAGATTAAGGTGGGAGACATTGTAATTTTAACAGGCCTTAGATATATTTCTGCTCTCTCACCATAGATGAATAGATGTGCTTGTCTTGGTTTTATTCTTCCTTGTGAGCAAGTCCTAGTGAATCTAAAACTTCCACCTATTTCTACAGCTGATCCTACTTCTCTTCTTCATTGTTTTGGGTCTGCCTTGGGTTGGGTTCCTCCAAAATCAAACACTGAGTTAAAAACTAAAGTACAATAGTTTATTTTGTGGATGATTCCAGGAATTCAGAAGAAAACTACAAAGACAATGTATTAGAAAAGAAGGAAAGGCCACTGTAGGAGATATTACCATTATG